TGTTTTTATATCTTCCAATCCACTAAATGAAAGCTACCTTGCTGATTTGCTTTTCCAGTGTTGTTTTGTTGGAATGCTTCTGCCAAAGGAAAAAAACTAGCCATCTCCTATTCTTGTCCTAGGCGACGAAGAATCTTGTCGAAGATTTTTGATCTGTTGTCGAGGAAGTCTCTAACGTTTTGTATTATAATTTGACAGCCCTTGTGCTCCGGTACCAATTGTTAGAAAAATGATAGGAAGAACAAAACAAATGCAGAATAGAATTGTGATTTTTTTATTGTGAACTGCATTCAGGAATTTTATGTTCCTAGAATATTTATAGACAGCAACCAACACAACTATTGGTACTAATTAACACATCTATTATTTAAAACTATACCAACTTTATTATTTAAATGAAACTAATATAGAAAACTTTAAAATTACATCTAATTATTTCACCAAATATAAGTCATACTTTTTGTCCTTCTCCAAATAATCGAATTTTATTTTAAAGATTCTAAATTTAATGTAAGGTGTGTCTTTAGCTCTACATTTCATTACTGTCTCATGTCTTGCAATCTTTGGCCATTTACATGTTATGTTAATGAATAAATCTGAATGACCAAGTTGCCTATAAACGGCAATTACATCTTGTGAGGTGTTAAATATATGTCTTATTCTTCCAGTGGATGTAGATGATAAGATAATTCGTTGGCCAATGGATGTCGATTGGGTATTACCTATGAACACAGCTTCTTGTAAGTCACTCATAATTGTTCTCTAATTTGATCTTGGTTTAACTACACGCACTTGATTCTTTGTGCTTCAACCATCATGTATGCATCAACCAAAAATTGTAAATATAATCTTTGTGCAAACAACACAACACCACCATCATTTTCTGTTTCCTGTATTTGAAATGCAACAAATTCTCTCATTGATACTCTCTAATGCTTTGTATTTTTTACATAAAAAATTATTTTCTCATTGAGATATTTTCTTGATATCCATCCCCCAAAAGAAAACAACAAAGAGTATTATAGAGGGATGAAAGCAATGTGTGTCTCATGGGCTTTTCGTAAAATCAATCTCATTGCAATGATGACGTCCCTTTTTTCATTAAATGAATCAACATCTCTAACTATTAGAGCAGCAACTTTGTGTACTACGGAGATATTATAATTTTCCAGTCTCTAGTTCTACTTCTTAAGAGCCTCAATGATACATTAGAAGTGGCATCATTATCCATGAAGTCTCTAGTTCTTCTAAAATTTGTGTTAAATCATTATGCTCATTTATCATATTTTTCAAATCCTGAACTAAACTTCTATCAAAAGCCAAAAAATTATTATCTCTACTATATGAAACAAATAGAAGAATTTGTTTTTAGTATGTTAATAATGCTTCATGAGTATTATATTATCAAACATATGTAAATAATACCTACCTATATTAAAAGGGTGTACTTAATAAAGTGCTTGTGATACCTTAAATGAGTCATTTTGTTTGATATTTTGTTCTGTGTATCATAAATATACAATTGAGTAAATCTTGATCGTTCACCATCTTGTGACAATAAAGATGGTATGTGATGATGATTGTGGCCGCTAAGAGTAAATTGTTGCTCGGTTGTTGTTTTGATATGCATCAATATTCCCATCCATATACCTGAACAGAAACATACTATTATATTTTTATTAAATCTTTTATAGTAATGAGAATTCCTCACACCAAATCCATAAAATAAATTATAGAGAAAATCTAAAAGTTTCCTTAAAAGAGACAGTTAAATTTTTCCTTTCACAAAACAAAATGAAAACTCTATGAAAACAAAATTCCTCACACCAAGTCCATTCAAAATAAATTATTCTGAATCTTTATTTTTTATTCTTTCTTCATATCATAACAAAGCTTCTCAAAGTTCACACATAAATTTGGGATCCTTAGAATCGATGATCTCTAAAGGAAAAATAAGATATCATATAGCCAGTCTTTTATAAATAGTTAGTATTGTACACAACTTACATGTTGCATATATAATCTAAACATACTTTTAATTTTTATTTCTCTAAATAAAGAATTGTCTAAAAATGATTCGACTGATGTATGAACCTTCTACCTCAACATTTAAATTAAAAAAATCAATGTCCACCATATTAATTTATGTAGTATATGCTTACATTGTTTATAATATCTTTTATATATAATTAGTTAATACAAAAAGATAATTATACTGTTGTATTATCACCTTCGAAGAAATTAATTATATGTGTTTTAAAAGATAGATCAATTATCTTCGGTCTCCTTTGCACTTGAAAGCACGACAAAGTGTGTGTATAATTGCTCCCTATTTGGAGTACTGTGCAAATGATTTTTTGGAATAATAAAAATAAAAATATCATTGTCACATCAGAGAGTACATTCTTTCTCAAACATGTACAATGATGTGACACTATAATCGATGACGAACTCTCCCCTTCAGTATCTATAATAATAATCTTAAAATAAATATTATAATTTTTATCTAAAAACTTTAATTATAAAAAAAAATATTATCCACTAATATTTGTTACATTGTTGTCAATGGTCAAATGAATAAGCAAGAATATTACTTATATACATTATTTTGACATTGACGTCAAAATAAGCACGTTTTATATCTTCAAGAATTTTATTTAGAAGTAATTCTACCTATAACAATTAATATTATACCATAAATATTTTGATTAAGAATACCAATTAATATTTAATTTCTTACACATAAATGCCCACATACCAAGTTTCTATCATTTTACAAAGTTATTTATAGAAAATAGTAAGTTTTGTGGCATGAATCTATAAATTTTTACAAAGTTAGCAATGGAAAATATCAAATTTAAAATGGAACATAATTATTATTTTACTAAGAATTTTTTTAATATATACAGAGTAAAAATTCTCTATTAAATAAACATGCCCATAAAAATCTCGTTCCTTTTATATATATTTTTTTCTCTTTTAAAAAAATTGGAAATTCTCTCCAATTAGTATTACAAGCAAAAAATGAAGATTCACATATAATTTCTTTTAGTCTACCAATCTATCCGTTCTTAGAATAAATTTAATTATTTTGATTATTGTTTTTGAACATGAGTTCTTTTTTTAAATTTTAAAATATATTATATAAATTAAATATTTTCCAATAATGAATTAAAATAATAAAGTTTTTAAACACAATTATGATTAGAATTTTGTGTGTAACAAATACGAAGTTTAATTTCCATAGAATATGTTTTTTGGTTAATTAAATCTTAAAATATTAATTGCTAACATGTCAAAAAATGTCCAATACACACACCACATGTTATAATTCTAGAATCCTAACTCTCAAATTTTATATATAAAAATAAAGAATACTTTTGGATGCATGCAAAGTGATGATAATCAAGCAAGAACTACAAAGAGGTTGGGACATTTTTTGTATACTACACATATGCATATGTTATACTTCTATAAAAATTAAAAAGGCCAATTATGTAGAGTGAGAGTCGAACCTAAGATTTTAAAATGTCAAGAGATACTTCATCCACTTAGCTACTAAACTTATTGGTTTGTAAATATATATATTTATTATATTGATTTTAATAAAAGATCCAATTATTAAGAAAAAAACACAAGTAAAGCATTATCTAATATACTTGTTTAACAAAGTTATAAAAATAGTTCAAAAAATAAATAAATGCAATTATTTTTTTTCTAAAAATTAATATGCATACTTATATCTAAAAAATAATTGTTTTTCAAAATAAAACATTAAAATTTTTTGTCATCAATAAAAATTAAAAAATATTTAGTAATTATACTTTAATATATTAAAATAATTGTTTTCTTCTTCATTTTCTCGTTTCAAACAACTAAGTATATGTGTAAAGTGTTATATACAAACTACGGAGTATGATATATATATATATATATATATATATATATATATATATATATATGTATGTATGTATGTGTGTGTATATATATGTATGTATGTATGTGTGTGTGTGTCTATATATATATATACATACATATATATATATATATATCTATATATATATATATATATATATGTATGTATGTGTGTGTGTGTAATAGTAATTTTAATAATAGTAATTTTATAATGGCTATATTTTACTATATTTTAATTATAGTAATTTTAATCAAAAAAAGTAATAATTAACCAAGATATTAATTATATAACCGTGTGACTATATTATTGTATACACATATTAATTATCGTGTCATTTTAATTATACTAATTTTCAATATAATAATTTAAATAATTTAAATATAGTAATATTAATTGTTAAGTATTTAAAGGTGGTAAGAAATTAAAGTCTCCAAAATTATAGATTTATAAAATGGACTATCACTATTGTTAGAATTAAATATCCTTTAAATATATTTATTTATGTTTAATAGCAAGAAAGGTAGTAACCAAGAAAGGTAATAATTAACTGTCATTTTTAAAGTGTCCGAAATTTTACTAGCAGCAAAGGTAATAATAAAAAATGGTAATAATTGACCACGGTATTAATTATATAATTGTGTGACTACATAATTGTATATTAATTACCGTGTCAAATTAATTATAGTAATTTTAATAATAGTAATTTTATAATGGCGATGGATACCCCGGACAGGGGGTATCCGGTCTTTGTGTAATATCAGTTGGGGCAGTCCAGTTTGTGCGATAGGCCCGTTTGTCGTTTGTTAATTACTTATTTAGGGCGGCCCAGCCTGTTGGGTCGGCCCATTTGTCTTTGTATGTAAACCCTAGCCCTCACTCTCCCATTATATATACCCCTCTTCTAGGAAGAGGGAGAGGGGAGGAGCTCATTCCACACGCTCCGAACTTACGTTCTAAGTATTATCCTCACTAGCACAGCTTGACCCCATATTTTCGTGCACTCATACTTAGTTCGATACTCATCCGCCTAGCCACCTAGGCCCCCGGGTTCCATAACCCAACATTGGTGCTCTCGTTGAGAGAGTCGAACACATCAAGCGTGCTCCAAAAAAAACAAACAAAAGAGTGGTTCTTCCAAATCTTCGTGGTGGGATTGGTCGCTGGTCTTAGATTCCCCGCCATCGCCGACTAGATCATTGGCACACGGAAGATCACCGCCGGCCTCGACGGGCGCGCCTCGCCGTAGGTCTGCTGAGGAGGTACCGGATTGAGTTCGCCGGCCATTGCCACCACTAAGAAGGTCAAGATCTTCGAGCCACCACCCATCGCCGACCAGATCTTGATTCCGCACACAGATCTTCCAGCCACCACCCAGTGCAGGCTTCGAAGCACGACGGGAGAGCCTCGCTGTAGCTGGCAACGATCCACCGGTGACGACCGTACGGACGCGACGACCAAGAGCTGCGCGGCATCCTGCCTCTGCGCAGCCAGCAACGAAGGCTCTGGAGCGACGGCAAGCTCCAGCCAGGGCGTGATAGCTCCAGATCTATCGCTGCCGACGGCACCCCCTCAAATGGCCAATTCCTCACTTGGCCCCTGGACGGATCCGCGTTGCTGCTCCGTTCACTCCTTCGTCCCGGCCAGCCATGAGACAAAGATATTGGCTAGTGACGGAACATCCAGCAATCGCACCACGTTCAGCAATGGCGGCGAAAGGGTCCGGATTTCACCGTCCCATGACGGCTTTTACGTCCTCACCGTTCAGTAACGGGGAAATTTAATCCTCCCCCACTCAGATCTAGAAGGAAGGACTAAAGAGCTTAAGGAAATTCATTGGCCGAGTATATGCTGTAGCTCCAACAGTGGTTAGCTTTTGCAGACGGCGTATCTGTGCATTTTCTCTTGGGAAGTCTGGACTCAATAAAAAAAAAAGATAAGTGTCTGACACCATTGTCTCAACTATCCATTTATATTATTTTTAGAACATCAGCAGTATCATCATTGCTATCATTTACTCTATTATTATTACACTTTCGGACCTCACTTGGACGATGGTATTACACTTTGTGTTCAACACTTTAAGTCCTGATGTGGGACGAGTGCAAAGCTCAATCTCACACCCCACACAGGCCAGCGACCTGCCTCAGGGCATGGCTCAGATCTAACTCATTTAGTCATCCCTTAGCGAGGCCGGGTAAAACCTCCCTACGAGGTGTTGAAGATCGTCCGCGACGATATTATCGCGAGGCCGAGGTAAGCCGTCCATCTCGACACACTTCTATACATCCGTCTTCCACGATGCGATCTCATTTCCTCTTCCACGAGGCCGAGGTAAGCCGTCCACCACGACGCACTCCCATCCGTCTCCCACGATGTGATTTTATTTCCTCTTCTACGAGGCTGAGGTAAGCCCTCCCCGCGAGGCCCTCCAGATCGTCCGCGACGATATTATCGCGAGGCCGAGGTAAGCCGTCCATCTCGACGCACTCCTATATATCCGTCTTCCACGACGTGAACTATTTGCTCTCGGATCTAAGGCGAGGGGTGCATCCTTTGTGCCTATCTCACTTACCCGAGCAGCTCTCATTTGAAGACCCCGGTCTCACTAAGGATGACGTCAAGGTTTGTTCTAGACCAGACTACTACACGATCGGCGCACTCCGTTGATCATGCCTATCTGTTGTCTAAAGCTTTGGACCCAACTCATACGTTGACTTACTTTTCTCGGCCGTGTGGTGATCGGTCCATCCAAGCCCACGAGTGCCTTGTGTTCTTTGTTGAACTTATTTTGCTGGTTTGAAGGATGAAAAGGCTAGGCTCAACCTTAGCCACCGCGTGAGGCACTCTAGCTCGGCCTCATCCGCTCAAGCTCGGCCTCATCCACTCAAGCTCGGCCTCATCCGCTCAAGCTCGGCCTCATCCGCTCGAGCTCGGCCTCATCCGTTCAAGCTCAGCCTCGACCACCTCATGGGGTACTCGAGCTCGGCCTCGGCCTCGGTCATCTCGTGAAGGGGCCAAAGACTCCCAACGGAGCCGAGCATGGACACTACTCCCCTTCGCCTCGGAATTCTTCTTCGGCTTAGGGAGTGGGGGACTCCGGGTGCTCGGCTCGTGATTGTTACATCTCACATCGTGAGAGGTTGGCGATTGACAACACCGACCTTGTATCAGACCGCAGCTGTCCGTGTCGGTATGCACTCGTCGGCAATACACTATGATGAATAGCCCTCGACTCCGGACAACGAGTCCGGGGGACTTGAAGATCACCTCTTCTGAAATTTACACTGAAGACCTCACCCCCTAGCAATATTTTCTTGATCCACTCCGTGGGATGAGATGTACTCTTTTCTTGACCGAGGATTTTTTCCCATCCTCATGGGTTTTTTCCTTGGCAAGTTTTTAATGAGGCATCCCCCGTGGAATGGGTCACACATTGACGGGATTGTGAGAGGATGACGACTTATTCATGCACTCTGAACAGCAAACCGACGATGCCCTTTGTACGAGAGCAGAACCTTTCAAGACAATGAGCAGATTGGGGCATACTTTTTTACCGTGCCGCTCCGGACAACGAGTCGGCAGCGCACATCGTGCTCAGTGCTACGATTTCTTTTACTTGGCCACTCCGGACAACGAGTCGACAATGCACCTCATATCCATGGATGTAGATTCTTTCACCTTGCCTTACTCGGAGCAGCGAGTTGGCGTTGCATTTCGAGACAAATGGCGTCGCTTGCCTTACTTCACCGTGCTCGGGACAGCGAGTTGGCGGTGCAGTCCAGACAGCAAGGAGGACGGTGTCCCTCCGTGGAGAATTATGGTTCTACTTCCACTTCACCTCGAGTTCCTCTCGGCTCGAGAAGTGGGGGACTCATGATGGATACCCCGGACAGGGGGTATCCGGTCTTTGTGTAATATCAGTCGGGGCAGTCCAGTTTGTGCGATAGGCCCGTTTGTTGTTTGTTAATTACTTATTTAGGGCGGCCCAGCCTGTTGGGCCGACCCATTTGTCTTTGTATGTAAACCCTAGCCCTCACTCTCCCATTATTTATACCCCTCTTCTAGGAAGAGGGAGAGGGGAGGAGCTCATTCCACACGCTCCGGACTTACGTTCTAAGTATTATCCTCACTAGCACAATACCATTCTCAGTCTACTTGACCCCATATTTTCGTGCACTCATACTTAGTTCGATACTTATCCGCCTAGCCACCTAGGCCCCCGGGTTCCATAACCCAACAAATGGCTATATTTTAATTATAGTGGCTATATTTTATAATGGCTATATTTTACTATATTTTAATTATAGTAATTTTAATCAAAAAGGTAATAATTAACCAAGGTATCAATTATATAACCGTGTGACTAAATAATTGTATACTTCGTATTAATTATCATTTCATTTTAATTACAGTAATTTTAATTATAGTAATTTTAAATATAATAAATTAAATAATTTAAATATAGTAATAGTAATTTAAATTCGTTATAGCACTTTGAAAAATGAATAATTTTCTTTAACCCCGTACGCAAAAATCATATTATAATTACATTCATTTACAAAACTTTCACAACCATTACATTCATCGTGAATTTTTTCACATGCGTTTCAAACTTGTCATTCCTACGAAAAATTGGGATCTTAACGGCTTTAAAAAATGTTGATGAGCAATTAGGGTTTATCATATTTTCTGTAACAATAATCCAACATATTTTAGTTATAGAGAACTCTATTTTAGAGTTTCAAAAGTAACTAATCGTAGTGGGTTGAAGATTCAAATATGCAATATAATGAAGACAATATTCTCAAGAATTGTACAAATAATGTAGTCTATAAAAAAGTCTTTCGAAATTTGTAAAACAGCGATATTTTGTACATTAAAATAATATAATCTCTATATTCTATTGTATCTTATTTTTATCACTGAAAAATGATTTGAATTTAGTAATATAAAAATGACCAGTGCAACGCACAAGAGTGATACTAGTTTCTTTAATAAAGTGCATATTTTTTCCTTTATTTCCACATACAAACGGACACTCGGATCAAATCACACCAATTAGACTATGAGATTGAGAACTTATTCTTATTAGAACGGAGGAGGGAAGAGGCCCTCCTGAAACTACCTGAAATTGTAATATACTCCGTATTTACTAAAATAAAATAATACTTCCTACGTCCTAGAGTATTTGTTCACTTTCATTTTTACACACCATCTAATGCACTTCTTTAATCCATTTTATCTTGCAATTTGTATATTAAAAGATTATAGAAATTATATATTAATAATCTATATGTTAAGACAAATCAAACAAGATCACACATGACTATATTTAGGCTTACACCTTGAGAGAATTTGATGAGTTAAAGTACTTAGATAAACAGTTCAAACGTTAAAAGTGGACAAAAACTGGGGAACGGAGGGAGTAATCTGTATAGTGTTCATTGTCATAAGTAATGAACATTTTTTTCAAATAAAATCATTATTATCTCTTAAGTATTCTTTTTCAATGTCAAAACTTAATAATGAAAATCTAAAGAAAATGCAAAAGAAAACATTATCCAAAATCTAAAGATTATTAATAAATTAAAATTAGTAAACAACATAGTCTTCAATTTCAACTTCAATATCACCGAAATCTTTTCATTCTCTACATTAATTATCATTTTGTGGTCTATGGGGCGCCCATTAGCCCCACATAGGTTTAGGAATGTCATGTCTGCACGTGTTAGCTTTTGTTCTTTGTTGGAGGATTCATTTCCATATGTCATAAAATTTTAATTTTTAATTCAATTTCAGTTTCATCTCATCATATTAGTAAAGATCAAACCAAATTAAAAGATAAAACTGAAAACTTATTCATATTAGAACGAACTAGGGAAGAGGCCCTCCTGAAGCTGGCCGAAATTGTTTTCTGCGGTTTTAGGGTTTGTGAGGTAAACGATGGCGACGAACCTCGACCAGGCAATAGAAAGCAAGGTAGTTTTATTTGATGTAATATAAGTTTCATAATTTTGTTCTAGATTCCAAGTAAATTATCGATTTTGATTTTGGGTGATTGGAGTTTGATATCCAAAGTTTTCATCAGGCTATGGGTTTTGGCGAATGCCTTTCTTCTCCCTTGCCGCCTCCCCCTAAAAAAGCTAGGGTTGAAAACGAAGCTGATGAATTGGAAGTAGCCTACAAGAAGTTCGCAGAAGAGTTTGAACAAAGCGAGGTAACCTCTTTAATTCAGAGGATTTAGAGGAGTGATAATCTTACACTCGTAAAATTGATGGCCCTCATAAGCCCGCCTAACCTCAATCCCTCACGACCCCCCATAGTCCCCGCAATTGCATCTATAAGTTTCGTTGTCAAAATTTTGACTTAAATGTCAGCCTAACTTGTGGGGCTGAGTGGTCTTGAAGGAGCTAGGTGTTATGAGGGGTAGGAGCCGTCAATTAAGTTCCCCACTTTAGCGGTTGTCATTACATACTTTAATTTAATCTAATCTTATTTTAACATATTCTTTCTGGATTGCTAGTAAAATTCTCAATTCTGATTTTCAATGATAGGGGTTTGATATCCAAACTTTTCCGGATGTCACTAAATTTATTGGTGGAATGATAAAGGTCCCTTTTGATCTTGAAGAGATATATTCTGCCGACTTTTGCACTGAATTATTTTACAAATTTGGATGCATTTTCTCCCTCAAATATGCTATTTTCAAAGAGAACCAAAAACAGGTTAGCTTCTACCCCGTGTTTAATTTTCTCATATATTTACTGGTTCTGGCTTTTGTATTGTTTTTTAACATCAAAAGTTCCAATGCAGAAAAAGAAACTCGTCTTGGATAAGATTATCAAGTCAAATTATGAATCAGGTGATTTGTATTACACCACCTTCCTGGCTAAAGACCTAGATACTGGAGAAACCAAAATTTATCAGACTAAAGTTTGGTTTCATCTGATTAACGCGGAAACCGAAGTTCTCATATTTAGAGAGAGAGCAGGTAATTTAATGATTTTTTATGTTTGTGTTAAACTTTGAATCTTATCTGGAACTGACATTCAATGTAAATGTGACCCAGACCAAGCACTCCAACCGGGGGAGGACACACAGGTACCCTAATTAACTGATACTTGTAATTTTTTTACGCTGGATCTAACGTAGCTTTATTGAAACTTGAGAGTACTGTTAATTCTGGTCCTCCTTAGGGTGTTGATATGGAAATCTTTCCAAACCTCCCAGCCCCAGGAGATGCTCTTCGCTCGGCTAATCTTGATATTAATGCACGGGGTGAAGATTCATATTATCGGTGCTTGTGCTATCTGTCCATAAGATTTGCACTAAGAACAATGGATGAGAGGGAGGTCTGTTTGTTTTGCCTTTTGACTAATGAATAATATATGATTGCATTTTGCAACTTACGTTTACCCCCCTGTTTGTTTGGAAGCAAGGAAGGAAAATGAGTGGAAAAAGGAAGGGAAAGAAATAGGAAGGATTTTTGAGTTTCCATAGGTTGGTGTCGATGAAAGGAAAATAGAGAGGAAACAAAGAAAAGAATTATATTTTTTGTTTGTTTAGATGGAAAAGTGAAGAAAAGAAGACATTAAAAGAAAATGACATTTTACGCGTTGTTACTAAGCACTTTGTTGTATTTATTATAACAGCTATATTTATTATAACATTCTTTCAAAAAATATATATAAGCAAGGCCTTTTAGTATTTTGGATTCTCTCTTTTCAATAGAGTTTTCCCTCCAGTTTTGGAGGCAAAGGGAAAACGTGGGCCCAACTAGTTATTATATTTCTTACCTCCACTTTTCCACTCTACGAAAGAAAGAAAATTCCAAATTTTCATTCCTTCCATCATAGATAAACTGGTAATATTGCCTTTTGTGTATTAATGTTTCCCTTAGTTTACACTTTGCTCATTGCTACCAATTTGTTCTCCCTTAGTTCGTGCCTCTTTGTCACTAAGTTGATTTATTTTGTATGCGCTTCTTGATGAAACAGCCTATCTACTTTCGAGTAGGGGTAAGGGTGGCGTACAGTTAGCTGTCCCAACTTCCGTTGTTGTTGTTGTTGTTAGTAACTTGTGTTGATGCAGAACAAAGATCGCATGCTTTGGAAGGTTACTGAGGGGTTTTATGGGGCAGATCTATCATTTCACACGACCTTCATTGTGAGAGATATGGATATGGATGATGAGGACAAAACGTACAAGATAGAGGTGCATTTCAATACAATGAGTGGCGAACTGGAGCTGCGGGGATTTGAAGCGATTGTGAAGAATGCCTAAATCAGGTTATTTTTTTCAGTTTATTTCTTTATGCTCACAAATTTATTGGCCATTTATGCATAATAAAGTAAAACCCAAGGCAGCTGGCACAAGCCCCCTAGTGTTGCCACCTAAGCCACAAGAGTGCGCTTGCGCCACACCCACCCCCATAATGTGCTACCCCCATCAAAGTGATAGCCTCTCACAATTGAAATCATACCGCAGTGTAAAGAGGTTCCAAATGTTTAAGCAACAAGGGCAGGACAGGTCCTGGGTTAGGTTTCTTCGGTACCTACCTGTGCAGGGACTAGCAAACCCTTTGTTTTTGACTGTCCTCTCTCTCTCTCTCTCTTGTGGGTTAATCATATTAGTAATGCTTAGTTAAGTATTGATGCTTATCTAATTTGTGTTTTCTGGAACATCCTAATTTGTGCTCAGTAGCCTGTTGAAATTCTAATTATCAAGCAAATGATGAACTTGCTACGACTAAGTAAGAACTGTGACTGTGTTTGGTTATGATGAACTGTGTTTTCCATTGATAGGCACTGTACCTTAATTATGATGACCTTTAACTTATTTCTAATGCCCGATTAAGTTGACAGTGTAGTAACTATGAAACGTAGTAGTGTATGTCGGTGCTCTTATTTCTTTTGTCCTCTCACCCAGATTAAGTGAGAATGCATTTAATAGTATCCGATTTGAACTTGACTGTAATGGACCGGACGAGACTAGACCTTAAACCAATTCTGAACCTAAAAAATAAATACGCAGAGTTTTTGAGACTCGCCAAATTCAACCCTATCCCTGACCTAAGTCGAGTTGACTCCAGTGAGATGACACAGTACGGTAAGATGACATGTAAAGCTCACCTGGGAATAAAGCAAAGCTCACCACTTTGACCATCAAAACTTACCTTTTTTTTAATTTTGAAAATTAAAAAATTTAAAAAAATAAAATTGCATGACCGGTCAACCACCGGTCAGCGGCGGCGAGGCGGCGGAGACCGGCGGCAGTGGCGGCGGAGGTCGGCGGCGGCCGGCAGTGGCTGCCGGAGTCCGGAGACGGCGGCAGTGGCGGCGGAGGTCGGCGGCGGCCGGCGGTGGCTGCCGGAGTCCGGCGACGGCGGCAGCGTAGGTTGCGGGCGGCGGCGGAGGTCGGCGGCTGGCGGCGGCGGTGGTTGCCGGCGGTGGTCTCCGGAGGTCGCCGGCGGTGGTCGCCGGCGGCGGCGGCAGGGGTTGCCGGTGATGGTCAATGGTCAATGGTCAAAGTCCAGTCAGCATCACTTTGATTTTTTTTCAAAAGAAATTTAAAGTGTTGAAAAAATATGGTGAGTTTTGCCTTACAGTTTGGTGAGTTTTGTAGTTGTTCTTGGTGAGCTTTGCAGTGTCCAGTGGTGAGCTTTGTGTCATCTGACCGTAGCATGTCATGATTGTCATCTCACCGTAAGGTGTCATCTGACTGGAGTCAATCCTATATATATATATATATATATATATATATATATATATATATATATATATGGTAAGTCTAAAATGACACCAGTGCTACGGTAAGTAAATATATAAGAAATGAAATACAATTTTAACTAGTGCTTATGCAATTATTTTAAAATAAAATTATAATTTTAATAAATCAATATTTTTAAAATGGAGTAAAAGGGAAATAGTGTAAAAATTTATGCAGAGAGATGTCTTTTAAAAAATTTAATAAATTTTATATAACTTTTAAAAAAGTAATTTATTAATTATACGATATTAAAATATACTCTCTCTGTCCCAAATTATAATGCCTGTTTACTATTCACAGGGTCAAACTTCATTCACTTTCTTTCTCTATTTTCGTTAGCAAATTGATAAAATAAGATATTGTTGTTAATACTAGTTTTGTAGATCTTTTGATGTAGTATTTTGATATGTAATTTTAATTTTTTAATTTTATACCATTTGTCATATAAAATGATTTGAAAATAACTTCAGTCAAACATCGTAAACCGAAACAGGCGTTATAAAATGGGACGGAGGGAGTATTTTATATTGTTGAAAGACATTAATATAATAATTAGAATATAAAACGTTTTATATATACAAATTTATGGTAATTAAATGCAACGATCATGAAAATTTTTTAAATAAAAAATAAACTAATAAAAGCCATTTAGATCAATAAAATGATGACACTATGTCATGTGGATAAAAAATTTTGCCATGTCATATGCCACATGTCTCCATTACAAGGTTTGAACTCTGTTTTTATATTTTATATTGTTGAAAGACATTAATATAATAATTAGAATATAAAACGTTTTATATATACAAATTTATGGTAATTAAATGCAACGATCATGAAAATTTTTTAAATAAAAAATAAACTAATAAATGCCATTTGGATCAATAAAATGATGACACTATGTCACGTGGATAAAAAATTTTGCCATGTCATATGCCACATGTCTCCATTACAAGGTTTGAACTCTGTTTTACATATATATACTAGTATTTAACCCGTGCAATGCACGGGGTCGAACACATGTTATTTTTAACTCTGATAATTTTTTATTGAAAGTAAATATAATATAGAATTTTAGATACAACATAAACAAAGTATGCTAACTACAATTGATGTATATAAAAATTGAAAAGAATGTACAAATGTGAAAATTAAATCCAAATTTTTTGGAAAACTTCAGGGTAAACCACATTTTTGGTACAATTGCAAGTGTTATCGTTGTCATCTAAAACTAATACTTTTTCTTAGTTTTCACTCGTGAAACTGCAACATAAAGTTAATATTGTGATATTTTTTGCCTAAGATTGTAAACATTGACTTTGTCTAAAATAATATTTAACATTGACTTTGGCTAAAAAAAATTGTTACTCGTATTTAAAAACTCCATTGACATGCTATTTAAATATTAGTGTGCTTCGTTATATATCATGTACTACTATCCTTATAAAAGAGGTTTTTTATATTCTAAATTGATATGGAGATTTTAAAAGGTAAAATTTTATTTTAGAAAACGCAATACAAAACTAAAAAGATGAGAGCGATAAAGGCCACAACAGGTACTCCAATTATTTTTATGTAATGTTGAATTTGGGTCTGTTTGAAAATAGCGTTAGAAGTTAGCTTTTGTTTATTTAAAAAGTTATCTACGGGTAGTGGTTAGCGTTTGCATTTTCAAAGTAATCTGCATCGTTAAAAATTTTCCAAAACGCTAAGTTTGATGCGTTTATCTCGACACTTAGAAACCAACTTTAGTTCTTTTGCACACATCTCAACGCAGCAAGTTTGTTGTCACATTTCAATGCAGCTAAAGCCAAAGCCGTCTTTCTTGTTCTGCAAAATGCCCGATGGAATAGTGAATAGAATAATTCCAAACTCAACTAAAATTCAGAAGTTAGAGGTGTGCTTGATTGGAGCATAGGGGGGAGATAATGCTCCTGACCCCTCATCTGATGTTGGTTCAAAACATTTGGAGGTTGGGAGAACTTTATTATTCCTTCCCCTCCCCCACCCACAACCCTCTAAAACGAAAGACACTCTAATTCTCTGTATAACCACCCTCTAACAAACCAAACAACGTGCATCAAAATCAATGAAAAGTTTCAAATATTTTACTTCAATTGGTCTTCAACATATCAAAGTTGATGGAAAACACAAAGCAAGAACAATAATGAGTATTGAATTAAAAAATAAATGTATATAATGCAGTATATAGATATAAATGGACTAAATGGAAGAAACAAAATCTTTAAAGGCATTTAAATTATAAAGTAATGCATCAAAAAAGGTAGTCGTAAGTCATAAACTGTCTAAGCCACAAGTTAAATAAAAACTTATGTAATCAAGATACGGATCCCTCAAAACCATAAAATGAAATATCTCTTTAGTCTATCTCTATTTTGATATTCTTCATCTTCTTGCTCGACGAATCCCCAACTCCATGATAATGTTCAATGTCTCTTGCTGAGAGTAGAATCGGTGATAGCATCCACATCTTGTTCCAATTGTTTATCCTTGGATTCTCCAAAAGCTTCAATCAAATTCTGCATGACAAAGTCGAAAAAAGTATTTTAAATTTAGTCAACTGGCTCTATTGTTAAATTAAATGAGATTAATATATGAACATTCATCTATAAATAATTTCAGTCAATTTTGATCACTATAAACAATTTGCGGAGCAGAACAACAAAGGTACATACATTTATGTTGTTCTACCATAGGATTTCTGTCAATGAAAAAATATTACATTTCGTATCATTCGATCTTGTCAAAAAATGAGTGTTCACCCTTATCTTTAGATGTAAGATTCTAAGAACTCTAACAAAATTCGTATTGGGTCAACACGGTTTAAATATTCAGCATGGTCTATTCATTAATATGTGCTATTAGGTATATTCAAGGCATACTGATATGGGTATGGTCTGAATGCCTACCAAATACTGAGGATAATGACGATGTTATCTAACTGCGTCAAATTCTCAGTTCAATTAACACATAAACACAGCTGAGCAAGTATTGAGCAAAGACATCTCAATGTTCAGTAAGTCCTCACCAACACCAATAGTTCAGGAACAAAGTATTGCTTCAAAATTTACAATATGGGTTCAGGTCTGAATTTTCATGAAGTCTCCACCAATAGGCTATTTTCTTCATGAATATGAGTATGGTCTCATTATGGGTATGGTATCAATAGCCTGTAAAACTCATTCCTGCAGATTTCAAGGCCATGATTCTGGCATTGATGGGTATGGTCTCAATGTCTAGCAAATCCAGGTTCATGGACACTCAGCCTATCATAAAGACAAATAAATACAGCATAGGAATTCCTCTGCCAGTCATTCTAATGGATAGACCAATAACCCAGGTGAGTTCTCTATGTTCTTCATTCCAGAAATCACAAAAAGTATGAATTATTGTCTCAACAAAGTTCAGTCCAGAGCATATTTTCACTCCTTCCACATGACTAAAGAGTAAAGAGCCATCTTTTGTTCACCCAAACACCTGTTTTGTTTCATAATACCACTCTCACCCCAAGGCTATGGTCTCACAAATGTATAATAATGCACAATTGACCAAAACCTCATGGAGACCTTCTCAACTTCAAAGACAAAAAGCGTAGATTAACAACTTCAAACAAAACAGTGGGAAATGTCTCTGGTGTTATGAATTTTTGGTTACCTAAGGTTAAGTATTCTTCCTTAATAAATATACAAACAATGATATATACAAACAGACCAAAAGATGGATGATGCAATGATTTAGTACCCATTCACCCTCGGATTCACCAATGAAAAAATACCAATTCATAAGAGACTCAATTTTTATTCAAGTGTGTTAGTAAATAGCCAAGAATTATCACCTTTACACACGAAGATGCCTCTCCTACAGAGAAGGTATGCTGCGATAATTTCTCTCCAGTTGAAAGTCCCAGCGTTACATCAGTCTATTTCATAAAGTTAAATTATGAAATATTAGATATCATATATGAAGGTATAAGCCACACGTGACTATGTAGTAATCCGCTATCAATAAATTCAAATTTATGTTAAAAACGTATCTCATCAAACTTGGAGTGAAAATAAAGCAGTATTTCTTTCTTTGAATTTCGAGATGGTATGTTCGTTGAAACAAATGTCCATCACGTTATAAAAGAATCAAAATCGTTAAAGTGTGCACGCCTGATCTCCACTTTGAAGAGATATGTTTTATACATCTGGCTGTATGTCTCCACCGGGAACATTCTGCTTCAAAATTTCGTGTAATTATCTGATAGACTTGTTGTATATTAGTAATCCAATCAAGTTTACATACCACACAATACTTCATCATTTCATCACATGATTTTTAGAGTAGCAAACATCCCACATTCTCGTATACTACAAAAGTAGCATTGTCACGACTCTCATTTTGATTCGATACCTGTTTCATAGTGGAACACGTGATTGCGTCAAAAGAAAGATTTTCAACATATAAATTAATAAGATTGATGGATTATCAAAACATATACCTTGGGATAAGATTCAAAACACGTTTCTTACCATCAGTGCAATGGTAGGAGCCACCGCGGAGGACCACGTCAGCCCCACACCTACAGGTCACTATAAACCAATCTGAGTCTACACTCTTGATTGTTCCGTAGATAGCATATCCACCGTTCTAGTATAATCACATCATTATTAGGAAACATTGTTGAATATTACCAAGTTTTTAGCATTGAAGCACATGCATTTAGTGGAATTAACAAAAGTCATGCCACCCACAATTTGATTTCCGGATACAAAAGCTATATGAACTTGTTTTATGGCATTTTACTTTGCAAACGCCGAAAAAACAAACGGAAAAGAGCAAGAGCGAAGCCTTTTTTTAGCCGACCGGAAAAACCTTGACTAACCATGCCCCCCACTACATGATGCAACAATAGCCGGCATTCCCCAAGCGAGCATGTGAAAACATGATCATGCACGCCAATGTCACATGGATGCGCATGAGGTAACACACGGCCTAGCCAGGGCAGAACCCGAGCCTTTTAAAACCAGCCAAAAAAAACCTTCACAGAACATACCCCCCCCTATATATGCTTAAAAAACATAAACCCAACGGTACAATCTTTTAACGACTCTATGGTTGTGGCCTCAGTAATATGAAAAAAAGTCTTCCCCCACAGAATAAACTTGCCCCTCCCTATTGCTATTGTTTTTTCCACTTTTTGGAGTAGCAGATTCCATAAACCGTGTGAGGACAGTAGCATCATGACATATTTTCAACACTCTAAAAGATTGCTCCAAACATCCCTTGAACATTGATCTAACCTCCACTTTAAAAATGAAGCTTTTACCCAAGAAAAATTTCCCAAACTCTGCTGGATTCTTAATACTTCCATCCTAACGTTCGTTGTAAAATTTAAGACATTAGCTTTTGAGCAATTAAATTACCTAACATATTAAAAATGCATTTAATATTTATCCTTTTAAAGTACATACTGCATCTGTCTTTTCCAGCAATTGGGAACATGAGGTATTTAAAATTGAGGAGGCTTCTTGGTCAAATAATACAAACGTAGTTGTTCCAGAATCATCCCTAACCGCTAGCTTGATCAAATATATACAAAAAACAGATCTAGCATTTTACGTAATTTTAATTAAACATGCACAGAAAGATGATTAGATGAATATGTTTGGAGCTAAAATAAACCTTGGAGTGACATTCATAATGCCACATGCACAGTGCATGCAATAGTACATAGTACCATCAGCTCACACTGCTCTATTACACTCGTAAGCTAAATAAAACCAATCCCCGGCATTGTTCACTGCATCAACAGTGGCATACACGACATAGGAGCCATCCTGTTTGAATACAAACAGAATATCAGTAAGCTTTTAAAAACAATAATAAGATTAGTTTAAGGACTACCTGCGTAGTATTCTTCAGTGTCGTTATTATCCTCATCCGATCAGCATCTAGGAATTCACTATGCTGCACATTTGAAATGTCATCACATGACAACACAATGGGTTGACGTTGAGATGTCACGCTAAGAGCCCTTTATAAAAATGGTTTAATTGTAATAAGTTAGAGAGTTACCAAATGACGTATAGAAATAGTATGCTTACTGTATATAAGTTCTTATAGAGTAGATTATACCCACCCTTGTCTAAATGCAATCACCTGTTCTATCTCAGGATTTAATTAATAACATACGCCTGCCGTACATGACATTCTGTAAAATTATATTTCCTGGTAATTTTTCACATGGTTAGTTTTTAAAGAATAAGCGCAAAGATGATTGTGATATGGAAAACCAAAAAAATTAAAACAGAATAGCATATAATTAATCATAGTACCTTGAAACACTTTCACTTTTGCATATTGTATCACAATTACGGGATGTTCCAATGGCTGTTGTTGGAAGAAGCTTTTTAACTTGTCAACGTATTCCCAAATAGTGTGATATCCCCAATGTCATTCTAAATCAAAAAATTCAAATGACATAGCACATTTGACACTGTTAATGGACTAATAATAATTTTTTGATGTGTAGCTCTGAAAATAACAATACCCTTCTGCTTCTAACTTGATGACAATCATCTTTGTCCTTTTGGACTCCTTTACTATCTCCTTTTGCTTGCCCACAACTGTAAGGATCCCCATAGTGTTTGTGTAAAAAGAAAAATGTAGATATCGCCAAACATCCTATGATTAGCTTTAATTATAGACAAGAGAACCAAAGATTACCAACTAAGTATGGGTAGTTTGGGTCTGCTTGCAGTATTTCAGAAAAAGTACTCAACATAAGCCCATGCACTGGAATTTTGTCAGAAGTACATTCGGCCACAGTAGTTCGTGGTTGGAAATTAAGTCTGTACTCATGTCTCGAGGTACGATAATAGCCACTACTGATGCCTATGCCAAAATAGGCAAAGATGTAAACAGAACCCTCCTTGAGTCGTCTCTCAAAAGTTCCGACTAAACTTTTCTAAACTGTTGCATGGATTGTACTCCCCATCAGATATTTGCAAAAAAATATCAGCAACAATAAAAAAACAATACACTGCGTTTTAAAGCACATTTGATTGCTCTTCTATACCTCCATAACGTACTCTACTTCAGGCAGAATTATTTACTCTGTGTAGTTCGTTTTGTTTTTGACTTTGAAAAATTAAATAGTGCTTGATTGACAAACCCTAGTCATTACCCATCCCTCTTACATTCATAAGTATTTTGTTTGACAATTAATTGATTCTAATGAGAGGTGGAAAATCTGTAATTCATAGCTCAAGAGAAAAAAATGGCAAGAACTTTAAAAAGTTGAAGAAAGCAATAACAGGGGATTAGTCGAAGGATACTACTTCACTTTTCCTTATTTAAATTCATACCAATGGATCAAATAGATCAAAAACTTTTACCACTAAATCCTTTTAAAAACATCAAACAGTATGTATGTCAAGAACATGAATGTATAGCATAAAGCATTAGCATATTAAATCCAACATATTAAAGCATATGTCAGTCGTTCTAACAACCTGGGCAGATTCAAAACTATCTATTCATATGACAGCATGCGGCAACAAAGTAATATTTACATGGCTAAACGCAAAGCATCAAGACATTGGCAAACCTCAGGTACTCTAAAAGATTAGTTCAAGACTACAGTTAAGATTCTACACTCACAGATTTTGATAAGAGAATTCCTTTTGGCATGTTTTGGAAAGAACATTTCTTCTTTGTGTAAATGCAAGTTGCAACATTTGTAATGGTCATTGCATTGCAGTAAAATTCCCCAATTAATCAATGCCTAGGCTCTAAGCTCTCCACTATGGCTATCTAATTAGCCTAGAGAGCACCCGGTTCTTTTTTACAACATTGGTAATGGTTGCAAATGTGTACTGAAACTTAGTACATTATACATAACCATACTGTCTTTCTTGAATGCTGTTACTTGTGACACATTCACCAGGAAGTGGCTGAAACCAAAGATACAACTACTCAAGGAGAGGCATTAGTTCTTTCATCTGAAGAAGATTTTGCAGCTTGTGCACCATTTCTAAAGAAAGGTGAGACTTTATTACTTCTTTTATTTGTTTTTCCATGTGCATAAATATCAGATTTTCCAAAAATCCTTTTATTTACTAACAAAATGCTTTAAGTACCCTCCATCTTTGTCTGCGACTCTATGCGTAAAGGAGGCAAACTTGAGGGTAGTGCAGCAAGTTCTTTAAAACATGAATACAAATAACTAAAAAAAGTTGTCAAAGTCTTTAGATCAAACATATCATACACTTTTTTACTTTTGTTTCAAGTAATTGACGAATTCAAAGCATTTGGACCAGTCACATAAAACACTATTCATTTAAAGAGCATCAATACAAAGAGCTAAAAATGTTTTAAAAAATAGTACATCCTTTGACACTTACTGTTACTTTTGGCATGAACCTGCATAAGGTTTCACAAAAAATATGGCCTAATTTTTTTTTATGAACAGAATAAATTATATACACATAATAAGATCATATGCAAAATTATAAATGATTCCTTGATTTACATGTTCGTCCATGAACATCATTTCAATAGAATTTGTCATCTTCTCATCACTATATACAGGCAAAGTATATAGTCTAACAACACAAACCATGATTCTCCAACACTCACTCGTTGGATTGATTTTGGACAAAGGATGGAAAGTCATCTTTTTGAGAAATGTGTTATGGAGGAATAAGGAAAAAAAAATCAACAGGAAAAAAACAAGGCTGCGGTTGTTGCTTTAACCACTGGCGGATCTACGTTTAGGTCATGGGGGGCACTTGCCCCCAGTGAGAAATCTCTTGCCAATTTAAAAAAAAGAAGTTTTTAATATTGGCCCCCGGTCAAAAAAGCAAATAACCCCTAGTAAATTTTGTATCCCACTACTCAACTACTCAAGGCTATTGCTGCTGTCTGCTAGCTCTCCACCATATCCATACCTTTTTTTCTCATTTTTTCTTTATAATACATTTTGTTTGCCTTTTAGATCCTAAGAAATTAAAGTGAGTTTTTTAGGCCAATGCTTGATATTTCAATGTTTTTTTGTGTATTTTGATTTAATTTTCTCTATTTTGTTTGAAATGAACTTATTAATTAAATTGATTGTAATAGATAATTATTGGAAGAGTTGGGAAGATACTTTTGTCGGTCTTATTTTTTGTTAAAAATTTACTAATTCTTTTTTGATAATTGAGATAATAAAGTTATTTCGGTTTTTCGGTCGGTTTTTTGGTTACAAAAACCGAACCGACCGAATAACCGATGATTTTGATTTAATTTATTTTTTATTTTTTAAAATAAGAAAATATTTGATTAATATACATGCTTTCTTTTTACTCTTTCATGAAAAATGTTAATGTTTCACTTTTAAAAAATCTATTTGCTAATGTTTTGAACATATTAATAAGAAAAGTGCAATTTTTATATGAAATGGATAGTGTATATTCGAATAAAAACTAATCTACCTTACTAAATCAATGACAATAGAAAAGTCATAATCTAAACTAATTTAATACATATCAATCTACCTTGCCAAATTAGTTTCTTGAATTTATATTAAAAAATCAAAATAAAAGTAATAAAAATTCGGTTTTTCGGTCAGTTTTTTTATGTATGGGCGATTTTCGGTTTCGGTTCGATCGGTTTTAATATATGGTCGGTTCGGTTCGGTCGGTTTTTAACCATGTTAAAAAAAAGTCGGTTTTTTCGGTTTCAAACCGAAACCGACCGAAACCGAGCGTTGCTCAGCCCTAGTTCCTTCTTCGCCGATTTGCCTGGAACGAAGAAAGGAAACTTTCCTTATTTTTTTCTTCCGTGAATGAAAAATTAAAAACCGTTCCAAAAATTAAATGTGGACCAATACTCTGGAACGGAGAAAGTATCATATATCATATCACACACACACATATACATATATCATTTATATCCTTTATATATATAAAGCAAAGTCAGAGTTGCAAGAATGTGACATTTGGCGGAACTATGGCGCGACATTTGGCGAGGCTCATGTGTCATTTTTTTTAAGAAAACAAAAAATGATGTGGAAGGTGATGTGTCATGAAACCTAAACCAAAAAGAAAAAAAAGTAATGCTAGATTCACAAACAAATAGTTTACAAAATTTACAAACTTACCTTTCTAGCACTTTTATAGAAATAAGATGCACTCAAATATTAAAAAATATTTTAATTTAAAATCCACAAAAGGCAAGTTTGTGAAGTTTGTGAACTTTAAGTTTGTGATTTTAGCATTTTCCGGAAAAAAAAGAAATCGCGTAGATCTAAAAAAAATTCTTCCGTTTCTTGCTGGAGAGAGTCCCACGCTACTTTCCTTTTTTTCTCCCAAATTCCTTCATCATCTCTTTTCTTTTTCTGGACGAAATTGACACGAATTAGCAAAGAGATTATAACCAGTGTATGTAATTATTCTTCATTATTCTTTCCTTATATATAAATTTGAGAGTTTAATCCTTAAGAACTTGACATATGGCATATCAAGAACTTGACATGTGGCATCTTAAATAGTTGACATGTGGCATCTTTAAGTAGCAATTTAACCAAATTTAAACTCTTCAATTATTTTACATTTTTATTCTTTTCCGAGAATGATAATTACTTATTTTGAACTCATAACTCAAAATTTAAAATTAAAATCTTTTTCCCTAGAATTTATTATTTTTGATAAATATTTTACCTTTTACTATAACATTTGAGACTCGTGACTCAAAGATGTTAACACGTGTCATCCTACATGACAAATACTCCCTCCGTCCTAAAATTTTCTTCCCAGTTTGACTTTTGCCCATTTTTAATTTTTGGTTTTGACTTCAAATTTTACCCTTCTTAAAAAAGATTTTTTGCAAATTTTTTTTTTCAATCATTCAAAATATAGAGTTAGAAGATAATTAGCGTAAATAAATGAGGGTATTAATGTCATTTGTTATCTTTTTTTCTAATGGGAAGGTAGTTTTAGGACGGAGAAAAAAGAGAAATGGGAAGAAAGTTTTAGGACGGAGGGAGTATTAAATAACACGGCACACGAATAAATTACACGGCATGCTTTAAATTCTCATTCATCATTTATGAAAAAATATTATTTTATATTAAAAAAATCATGGACTTTTGAACTTATTAAAAATTTTATAAATGAAATAAACATTATAGTTTTCAACAAAAATTAAATGAATTATTCATAAAGAAGAAACTAATCTTGATTAATCTTCGTCTTTTTTATAAATATAAAATAGTTATTTTAAAATTCTCTTGAGTGAAATATTATTGGAACATAATTTTTCATAGAGAAAACATATTGTAGTAAAAATTAAGGATTGATAAAATATAGTCTTCATATTCATATATTTATAGTTTAAAGTACCAAATGACAACATATATTTTTAAATAAAATATATTAAAATAATTTTAGTGCTTCATGTGGATTGAAAAATAACCCATTTATTTTCAAAAATTATTTAAAAATGTATATCATTTTAAAAGGTTGCAAACGCACCACCTCGATTCATACTATTTTCGTTCATTTTTACGTTGAAAGGAGGGGGGGCATCGATGCCTATTTTTCAATCCACATGAGCATCAATGCCTATTGTAATTTTTAAACTTCTTTTTAAATTTTTCTTTATTTTCTATCTAAGGTTAAGCATTTTCAATTGGAAGGCAAAATAAAAAGTTGGAAAATTTTGGAAATATGTGTCTAGATATTTGTTATCCCCCACATGTTTTATTGAAACATTATTTTTATTGAATGAAAACAAAGATATTTTAATTTAAGATAGTTTTTAAATATTTTAAGGACATAGTTTGTTTTTAAAAACATGATTAATTTCAAATCTTTTTTATACTGTCCCATTCTCTAGGCGGCAAGCGGGGGAGGGGTGGTTGGGAGGGGGGAGGGAGGATTGGGGTGGGTGGGGAAATGAACTCGATCCAAGAATTAGAGTATTGGAGTATTGAATAAAAAATGAGTTTTCATCCAAAACAAACATAAATCGTTTTCTCCAAGAGAAACAAACATAAGTATAATAATTTTCTACTAATGTAATCTAACATGGAAAAAGTAGAGTTGGAATTTTCTAAAAAAAATATTTTTCTTTTAACCAAACAGATCCTAAGAATTAGAATCCAAAACAATATAGTCTTAAAAAGTTGAAGAAAATTTTTAACAATTGACACAAATTTCATTTTTTATGCAAAACTTCTTATCTCATGAGAAGACCTAAATAATTTATTTTTGGTTGAGATTGAAAATTTTCTTAATTCAAATAGAGAGTGTTTAAAAAATTTCTGTGGCATGGTATTAATTACAGTCCATCAATAGATTTCAAAATAATTTGTTGGTCGATAAGTTGAACTATGACAAAGAAAAATTGTCATATGATCTTAGGGGATATACACTATATAATTTATCCACAATGAATGAAGATCACGGGAAGATATATGGCAAAATAATGAAAGTCATGACAATGAAAGACGAGCTTTTTTGTGTACCGATACAGAGGAACGGGAAGTACAATCCTCTCGAAACCAATGTCTGCCTCTTTAAGATCAAATGGTAAGGTTGTTTTGAATGTTGTATCAAAGGGTATTACAGCATTATTTTTTCCTGAGGGAAGGTAACCACACTCAAAATTCGTAATAACTTTGGTGCTTACCGAGTGCTCTGTGTGCCATTAAACAAAGAAGTTGAAAGTAAAACTAATCGAACAAACAAATCTAATCATTAGGGATGAAGCATTTATGTTGAATATATTTGCTTTGGAGGCATTGGATCATATCACAATGAAAGATATGATGTAACGGAGGTTCTTTTGTAATAGCTTCATAAGTGAACCATTTAGATGGAAAACAATGGTACTAGAGGTTTTTTTTGTCAAATTCTTCCAGTTTTACCCAGAGCTTTGAGAGAAGAAGTTATAAGTGCTACAATAAATTTCTTAAAATATTGATCGTATTGTAATTGATGTCTATAATATAAAAAATCATGTTCAAAATATATTCTCTTTAATCAAGTAATATATTACTATATCCGTTCTAGAGTATTTGCCCAGTTTTGATTTTTTTCAGTCAACCGTTTTCAACTTTTGACTTATAATGAAATAAAATATATATTGTATACTAATTAGATAAAATAATATTCTGAAAATATCTTATACAATAAATCTAATAAACTACTTTGGTATCAATATTTAATATCATTTTTATAATATTGGATTGAATTGAATCAAACTGGATCGAAGATTGAATTGATTAAAATTACGGACAGAAGACTATATTTAGATCTACTCCGGTTTGGATCGGACTAAAATACTTATGACTAAACTGAATAAATATACATTTTTCAATTACTTTGATCAATTAAATATATCTTAAGTTTTTTATTTTGTACCGTGCAAATAGAAAAAAAATAAAAGAGAGATAATCTAAAGATAAATACACAACATGGACTACTTCTATGTAGGATTATAAGAACTAATGTGAAATATTTTTTTGTCCTTTTAAGTTTTAATTACTTAACAAACAAATTTTAATTAAATAAATTAAGATATCTATAAAAATAGAGCATCAAAGTGTAATACAAAATTTAAAAAGTAGAGTTTTAATTTTTAGATCTTTTAGGTCTAATAGAGTTATTAGGTCCATTCGGTCTGAGCTGGTATGGGCCTAATGGTCCAGTTCGTGCGGTTTTTTCAGTTCGTACCTAAACGAAAACAACTATAGGTTTTTATTAAAATTTTGTTGATTGAACAAAAATTTTAATATGTGAATTTAATTTTTTATTTTTACACCAAATTGAAAACAAATTGATTTTTTTGTATGTATAAAGAAAAAGATTTTGTCTCATTTAAGTCTCTGTGCAAATTTTTTTGTGGATCTAAAGTTTTTGTTTATTTTATAGACTTTAGTGTATTTGTAGCTTAAAAATAGTAGACTTTTTTTAAACTAAAAAATATACACATTAAAAAGCTAATGAAAATATAAGAAGAATATGTATCTCAAGACCATGTAAACATTTTAACTCTGACTCTATTTGGAAAGGAGGAAATGACTTCAGTTATTTTTCCCATTTTCTTGTGTTTGGCAAGTTTGGAAAATGAGGTCAAAGTAATTTGAACTGCCGGTCAAATGGTAGATGAATGCAAAAATATGGAATTTGACTTCAAATTGAAAACCACTCTCTCCACTGCCTCTTGCCTTCCGTCTTGTTTCTTCTTCTCCTTCTTCTTCTTTTTCTCCATCACTCTTCTTCTTCTTCTTCTTCTCATCCTCCATCCCTCTTATTTTTCTTCTCATCCATCGCCATCGCCGCCTCCCAGATCGCCACCACCCCACATCGCCGCCCCGTTTCAATCGTCTCAACCATCCCAATCGCCGCCCATCTCAATAATCGACCTTCATCTGAGGTAAATTGCGTCACTACCATCCCCGTCTCTAAGGTGTTTGATAAAATGCTTGAAAGACAATTTGATTTTCTAGATATTCATTTTCCAGAATTGAGACAAACGAAAATAAGAGCTCCGTACTTTTCAATTTTTAGCCAAAACACTACAAAGAAAATGACTTCGAAAATATATCATTTTCCTAAAGTCATATTTTCAGAATTTATTTTCCTGATTTCCGAACTCTCCCATTTTGATAGATTTCTTAATCTGTTGTAATCCGTTTTGTTAGTTTCCTTTGCTCAAGTCTGCATCTGTTCCTCTATTTGGTTGGTTCAAGTAATTGACTTTCACAACTTGTAATCTTACCTTGGAATTGCACTAATTGGATGCTGGTCCAGGCATTCATTTTTCGGGATTGAACCAAAGGGAAATAAAAAACAGTTTTCAACTAAACACCAACTAGTAAAATGACTTTAGGAAAATAACTCATTTTCTAGAAGACATTTCCCTCCTTTCCAAAGGGAGCCCAACAGAAATCAATGCCAATTCAGTTATATTCTGGTAGGTGATTTGGTAATTGGTACTTGGTAGTTAAGTAATTTTTAAAGTCCAGATTACTAAGTTCATTGTGAAATCAATTTCATTTCTTCTTTAGATTGTTTTGGTTGAATTATTTTCTTTTATTATTCTTTAAGCAGCTTCCAATGTCTTCTTCTAAAGAAATCGATGAAACTCAAGATAGCTCATCATCGTAAGCATCTTCGTAAATATATTTTGTACATTGTTTAACAATCGTTGACTTATGTTAAATATTTATTTTAATTACTCTTTAAATATGCAGTTGTTCAACTTAATCACATTTTGAATTTGGTTATGCCTTTTGATGGTTGATTTAATCATGAGAATTTAATTTATGGGTTTTGTATCCCGAGTACTTTTCTATATAACTGATGCTTTCCTTAATACTCTATTTACCCCCAATTTTATTTTTCATGTGAACCGCTTTAGCCCAAAGAGCATATACAACGATCCAGATGATGGTCGACAACGGTTCTTGCTTGAGTTGGAGTTTGTCCAATGTCTTGCTAATCCCACATATATCCATTGTGAGTTCATCATAAATTTTGAACTTCATTACGATTTTGGCAATGTGTGCCCCACTTAAAATCACTACATTGAGCAATCATAACCTATCTTGCTTCAGTTTTCCTTGACTATTTTACGTTTTGCTTTCTAGTTCATTAGAGAAAAACATGAGAGAATTGATTCAATGAGTTTTTGGACTCAGAGAAAACTGATTTTTGTGTGCCTCGACTTCCTGGGGATTTTTTATTATTAATTTTTTTTGGAGGGTCCGCCTTGATCACCTTTAAGAGGTTAAAGCATCCCATTGATTTCTCTATTACACCATTTTGTATGTTTTCTTTACTCCAATTTTTTTATTATTTTCTGGGAAGCTTCTATTGGCATGCTATTTGTTAGATAAACCTTGGTTCCTTGTAATCATGGTATAGATAAATCTTGGTTCCTTGTAATAATGGAAGCTTCTATGTAAGTGTCGATTTCTTCATGTTTGAGTCTTGGCATCAAATGTCGAAGGGTAGAGGGAGTGTGAGATATTGAGATAATGTGATTTAGGTGCTCCTTTATTCCTCCGTTATCACGATGTTTTGTTACTGACTTGTTTTTTTTCCCACTCTCTTGTTGGGTTCTTTAATTTTTTGAAATGTAGATTTGGCTCAGAATCGCTATTTTGAAGATGAAGCTTTTATTGGCTACTTGAAATACCTTCAGTACTGGCAACGACCTGAATATATAAAATTCATAATGTGAGCTTGCTTCATAGTTAAAATCCTAAAGATTTTGCTTTTGATATTAGTCTCTACCTCTATACCATGATTATCATCCTACATGTGTGCTCTCACCATCTGATTTCGTTCCAGGTATCCTCATTGTTTATATTTTCTTGAACTGCTTCAAAATGCAAACTTCCGCAATGCAATGGCACATCCTGGCAACAAGGTTACATCCCTGTGTTCTTTTATCTCCACCTTGAATATATAATATATTATCCGTGGTATAGATGGTTTTGTTGTTACTCAGCATTAATTGCCCATGTAAAAATGACTGGCTGGGTATGTTGTGATGTTTCCACAGTATAAGAAATAAGCATATTTCCTACTTCTAGAGTCTAGACTACTTCAGTATAAGAAATAAGCATATTTTCTACTTCTAGGACACAACTTGGTTTTTTTTTGTTCATTTGGCATTTTTAGACATGGGTTCTGACATGTTAGTCTTTCAGGAGTTGGCACATAAGCAGCAATTCTTTTTCTGGAAGAACTACAGAAACAACCGAATGAAGCACATTTTGCCGAGACCTCTACCTGAACCAGCTCCTGCACCCCCAGCTTCTTCTGCGCCACTTCCACCTCCTGTGCACTCAGTACCACCCATTCCTCCTGCCTCATCGGCAGTTTCTCCTATCCCATATGGCTTGCCCCCTGGGTCTGCTGTACCAAAAACTGACGTGAGGAGTTCTGCAATTGATCGCAGGAAAAGGAAGTATGTTACTCGTCAATTCTCTGACTTATATATTTAGATGCCAAATAAACTAATTTGATATCTCCCTCCCCCCCTCTCACTCTCTCATATTAAAGAGCCTTGATTTGTCTTCATATTCCCATGTTTCTTCTTTATTGCAGAAAGGAAGTTTAATCTGCTATCAGTTACCTAGCTAGCTAGCATGAATGGGGGGAAACATGCTGAGGTAATTATGAAGCTGGAAGAAGTGTCAGTTCTGCTTGAATTTTGGACCCATTAATTCAAAAAATCATGTTAGAAATCAATTATCTCTATCCCTACTTGTTGGCTCTGACATTTTCTTCTAGTATTATGACAGTAAAGCATTGGCTTGCTCTCAAAAAGTTTCTCAAGTCGTCACCATAAATCGATAGACAATGCCTTGACCCTTTTCTACTGCAGTTTTGTCAATGTATGTGATGATTGCATCATCTTGGCCATTCCATGCTATAAATATATACACCATGTCGAAATGCAGGATCCACGTCATCATAACATGGTAGAAACTAGAAAGCTGGAGCTTATATGCCACCAAGTATGTACGTACTTCTTTGTAAGACTATGAGGTATGGGGGTGATGGGGGCATGACTGCCGACATGGTGGGGGTGACCGGGCACGGCTGGGGTACGAGCCCTCGGGAGGGGGGGTGTTTAATTTTTAACCAATCAAATTAATTTGCACCTTCACACATCATTACTCACTCACCCAATCACTTTTACATCCACCATATCACACATTTTTGTATCACTCCAAATCATACTCCCTATCACCCCCTTTTGTCTTCTATCATAGCCTAAGAGGTTTGAATGCTCTAACTAAGCAAATTGATGAGAAATTTACATGATACGAGCTCTCCTCGAAGCTCCTATTTTGATACTCTCTCTATTTTTTACTTTTATTCAGAATGGTTTCTTATAAAAGAATTATAATGACCCTAATATAATCTTTTTTTACTCAAGATACAATGGCAACCGTTATGGAGTACTCCCTCCGTCCACCTAAGATCTTCCCATTGCGCGTTATGAGGCTTGATCGACTTTATTTTCAATTCGATTTATTTGAATATATGAGTAAAATTTTAATGTAAAATTTATATAGTAATAAAGTACATAAAAAGTTCTACAAAACTAGAGGTAACAACACTATATTATTCTGTAAAATGAGTAGTAAAAATAAGCAAACAAAGTGAATTAAGTTTGACCCTATGAATAGTATCCGGGAAGATCTATGGTGGACAGAGGGAGTAATAAATTACTACTGCAATTACTTGCAATTGATAAAGCTAAGCTCAATCCAAACAGGAAACTCCCACCCAAGACTATAAACATCTCACTTAGCACTCACGAGGAAAATTTAAATTGTCGAAAAAAATTGTAGTATAGACAATTAGACTGACTCACAGAAAGATTTGTTTTCAAGAACAAAATTACTGCGGAGTAATACCAAAAGATATAAGGAAATTACTCCATATGTCCGAGAAGGTTTGTCCATTTTTTACTTTTTTTTCTCTTCAGAATTAGTAAACTTTGACTCCAAATTAAATAAAAATGATATTAAATATTGATACAAAAATAATTTTATTAGATATATTATCTAAAATATTTTCAAAATTTTATTTTATCTAATCACTATACAATATATATTTTATTTAATTACAGGTCAAAATTTGAAAATAATTTACTGAAGAAAGTCAAAATTGGATAAGTACTCCTTGATGGTAGTACAACTTATGCAGAGGCAAAGACAATGTGAATGCAATGGAGTCACTTGCCCCCGGTAGAATTTTTTTAAATTACTAATTAGTTTTACCACCCTATTTTTTTTACGGAGTAAAAAATAACACTAATGCCCCGACTTAAATATTCGTGCAGCCGCATTGATTTCTATTTCAAATCAATTGAACAAATTCAGGCCATAGATTAGAGGCAATGTCAATATTAAGTACGGAGTAATATATTTTATTTTTAAGATTGAATTTTTTATCATGTTTTGTTTTTTAAAAAAGAACCGGAGTGCATCATATATTAAACAGCACCAAAACAAAAAAAAAACATTGTCCAAAATACAATAGCCATTGTCCAATAGAAACCTAGCTACTACAATCAATCAAATTACAAACACAATAAAAATAGCGTCTTCTAATAGACTTGTGCTTAATAGGAGGAGGTGTTAATTTGAAACTGAACCCCGTTACAGTGGTCCGCCATTAAAAATTACCACTTCCCATGCATCGTATAAAGCCCAATTATTTTTTAATAATACATGTATGTGTATAAGAAGCCCAGCACCCAGCCCAATATGTCAAAAGCCCATCTCATTAGCCGCCCCAACCCTTCCTACTTCGTAGACAAACAACGCAAACCGCGCGCAGGGGGGACGAAGCCTACTGCCGAAACCACCGAATCGGAAAGAGAGTGCCGACTGCTGAGAGACGCCGCCGGTAGAGAGACGCCGCCGCTGCACCTTCCAGGTACGTATTTACTATGATTTTTTTCTAATTTTCTTTCTTTCATTGTTTCATTCTTTAGATTTAAAATCTAGGGTCAATTATTAGTTTTTAGTTTGAAATCTTTGCTAATTGCTATGAAATATGAATGAATTAATGGTTCCATATGTTCTTTATTTGATTTGGATGAATTGATTTGAATTTATGATATATATAAAAAAAACTGAAAACTGAAAAACTAAAACTGAAAAACTACCTACACAAGTTGTGTGGGTAGTATGCAAAATAGCTAAGAGAACAACTGATGCTTAGGAATAAACATAGAATTCCAACTATTCTTGACACAATTCAGGTTAATCTTCCTGCCAATTAGCCACTTATAACCTTCTTTTTTGTTCTACTGAATCCCCAAAGGCATAATAGTGAAAACCATATCTTATTTTGAAGGTTTTCACCAACAAAACAAGTCCTTGATACTATATTTTTACTCCCAAATATTAGAAGTTTTAATTTTTTGAACATTGTATAGATTGGCAACTGTGTACCGTCTCACTTGTAAAAAATAAAAAAAGTCTTCAATATTAATTACGGAGTACATGTTAATAATTTTTGTTTAATTTTTAAATGAGTTCATTGATTGAAATTAAATGATATGCAAACATTTATTAGGCAATCGAAATGGCCGTGGGAGTTGAAGCAAAAGCCAGCCAAAAAGATTATTTAAGGTTGTCTATTTCTCTGCAATTTCTCATCCAGTTTGGAGACAGGTGCGTTCAAAGCTTTCAAAAAGTTGACAAATATAAAAAGACAGTAACGTTTACCAAAAGAACAAGATTATACGCTCACACTTCAAACATTCTCCAAAGATAATTTCTTACTAATGTAAACAAAAAATGAAGAATATATAGTGCACTTGTAGAAATTTTTAGACACCTTCCCAACATGTTCAAGCACACAAATGTGTGTATATTCTATTTTAACTCAATTTACTTATAACTTTAACTTATATTGTAGTAACCAATATGACATGTGAACTCATAAATGTATTGAAAAGTGGAATTCATAGATGGCTTACAAAAGGCATATTTGAATTCCACCATGTGTGATGTGATTTTACGTAAGATGTCTATGAATTACATTTTTTATACAATTATGAGTTCACCTATCATATTGATTACTAAAATATAATTTAAAGTTACAAACACTTAGAATAGAAAATATACACATGAGTGTATTTTAAAATATTGGAAAGGTGTCTAAAAATTCTTGGAATGCTCTTATATATTCTTTTTTTATTTATCGTAGTAAGAAATTTACCTTTGAAGGATGTTTGACTTATCTCCCGATGAACGCACAATCTCTTTCTTTTGATAAATTTTACTGTCTTTATATATTTATCAACTTTCCAAAATCCCCAAATGCACTCATCGCCAAAGTCATTGATGAGGATAAAGAAATTAACTTCAAATCCTCTTTTTGGTTAAGTTTAACTTCAACCACCGCAGTCATTTCAATTGCCAAACACATGTCTCCATAACCTTAAAATCTAATCAATGAACTCCATAAAAAATAAAACAACGCTTATCAACAAGAAATTAATACTGAATGCTTTTATTTTCTTGATTTCTTACCTGAGACGATATACAATCCCAATCTACATAAAATTCACAAAATCAAAACTTCTAATGTTTGTGTATAGATTTGATAACGAGTGATTTTATCAGAAGATGCCCTTAAAATCACACAATTTATGTAAAATACATTTGGGATTGAGTACAAATCTAACCAATTGGGAGCAAAACTAAAACAAGCTGGGTAAAGAATGTTTATGATCCTATTATCTAAATGGATACTCTGTGTTTCAGGCGACCAAAATATTGAAGACTCTCTTCGCTTTTTTTTTCAACTCTTTTGCTAATGATATTCATCAAACTATAACAAACAAAGTGGATGAAAAGTAGATGAATTGTTTCTAGTCCTGAAATGTTTGACAATGTGTAGCATTTAAAGAATAGGAATGAGAGACAAAAATGAAATGCTCTCTATGCTGCCATACTAACAGCATCTAAAAAGTTAAAAAAAACGATGTATCAGAAGAAACAATTCTTAATGGAAGACCTTTGCAACTGGGTTCAGTTTCAATTAAACATTTTAAGTACAAGTCTATTAGCAAAAGTTAAAATACTAGTTTCAATAAATTTTGCAAAAGTATGGTCTTCCCCGTGCATGGCACTGAGTTAAAATACTAGTTTTAATAAATTTTGCATTCAATTGTATTCAAACTCATTCAGTTGCAACAATTTTCAGGAGTAAAATTAAGTGATTTTCAATTAATTTCACTAAAATTATATTCAATTTCATTACTAAACATACTTTTTTTCATAAATGTAGTCCAACTTTGTAAATATATGACTAAAAAGTAAAAATGGAAGATTATTTACGATGAAGAGAGTATAATAAGAAAAAATATAAAATAATTTGAGGTGATGCACTGATGATAGATTGATAAATGTGATATGATCAAAAAAGAAACATGGATAATTAAATTTCAATTTGAAAATAATATATCCAGAATAAATCCGAATCGAAATATATCCAAAACCAAAATATAATCGGAACCGGAATATATCCAAAATCAAAATATATTCGAACCGTATCTAAACTGATCCAGAACCGAATCGAAACCGAAAACTGTATGGAATTGTAATAAATCCGAGCCAATCCAAATTAAACAGATTATAACTTTTATTTGAAAGATATCGTAATGGAAAAATCCAAACCGGAACCCATTCCATTGATCCTATGTACAGGTCTACATATAGCTGAGCCGATTACTTGGAATTGTATTGTATGGAATTTATATGGTTTAGGCAGAGAACGGAGAAGCACAAAAAGCAGCGATTGATTCAGGGGTACCTTGTTAGGGCAGCATTCGTCTGCTATTCGCGGATTAAGCTCAATCAGCCTCCGTACAGGTTTGTTCCTTAATCCTCACTTCTTCATCCCGAATTGGCAACATTCAATGTTATTATCATATTTATGATATAATAATTTCAATATCTTAACATGATTTTGGAGATTTGATTTTTGCTTTTTGAAATGAAATAAATAGATATATAAATTTACTATATTTCCAAAGTGAGTGGCGTTCTTTTTTGAACTGTAAATGAGTTTGACATTATATTCTAGATAGAGTTTTTTTTTTCTTCATGTTTTGAACTCACATGTTCAGTTACTACTACTCTCCCCCCAAGTGTTTGATTAAATGTTTCAATGAACTCATCAACTTCCGAAGGGATTGTGAAGCCTTTTTACCCTCTGTTCTGTTTGCCAGATGATCCAATGACATGAGATCTTGTTGGCTTATGAGCAGCAGGTTAAAAACATCCCAAACCTCGAATCTTTTCTTCTCAAACAACATATGATGGCGCCCCGGTGGAAAGGAAAGGGAGCAGAAAGCAAAGCACTTGCAGATCCCATGTCCAGCATAGTATCAAATCTGCACTCTTCTCTACTCCAATCCAACTCTACGGGATCACTCGTCGATTCCACCATACTCTTCGAAGCCGATGCAGAAAAAACCGACCTTCTGAACCGGGCTTGTTTTGGCAGACCTAGGATAACAGCCCAGAAGGTCACACAGTGGTTTGAATTCAGCCTGGAAGAAGCATTTTACCTGTGCTGTTCTCTGAAATGCATCACTATTGTGGACCAGAATCAATGCCAAATAAGTGTGAAAGAGCTGTGGGAGCATATGACACACAAAAGGGATAACTTTCCTCTCATGTGCAAAGCATATTGTCATCTCAGGTCAAAGAATTGGGTCGTCAGGTCCGGGTCCCAGTACGGCATAGACTTTGTCGCGTATCGCCATCACCCGGCTCTGGTGCACTCGGAATATGCGGTTCTTGTTTTGCCGCCAGAAGGAGGCGGTCGTCTGAGAGTGTGGTCTGACTATCACTGCACTCTCCGGCTCTGCGGCAGTGTCGCCAAGACATTGTTGGTTCTTTATGTGGAGGAAAACAACAATGTTGCTGTCGAGTCGCCGTGGAATTTGGATAATTACGTCGTCGAGGAGAGAATTGTCACTAGATGGAGTCCAGAACAATGCCGTGAAGACAAAGTGGTTAGTTAGCACTTGACCTTCATAACTGTGCTTTCTCTCTTTATTTTCTTTCCATTGTTGAAAGAGTAGAGAGCCTTTTTTGGGGTAAAAACTGGACCTGTGTTTTGGGATTTTCAATTTGTATTCTTTTAATAGATTGAATGAAAGAACAGCTAAAGTGAAATGGCTTTCCTTCCATTGTTGTAAGGTGATACTTATAGTACATGTAATGTTAGACTACTTGATCATGTAAAAGGAAGATGAACATGAAATGTATTTATTTGTCCCATTTCATTGTGATTCTTGAACAAAGGAGATTGAGTTTTAGTTGTAAGTTAAACATTCCTCTAGGAAAACGAGATGAACTTTGCTCATCAATTAAATAATTTGAAATGAAAAGAACACTTTTAATGAATGCACAATTTTTTAAAATTTTTTTAGTGATCTACAACCAACAGATCACTAAACACTTCACGATGACACCGGAACTCTACGGTGCTCCATTGGATCCATGACTTTCAACCCCTAGCATTTCACCAAAATGAAGTGAAGGGCAAAGATATTCAAAGCACACCAACAATACAAACAAGACCCAAAGCAATGCTGGCATTAAAGCTAAATACCATCCCACATTAAAATAAGCCATAATAAATACAATGCAATGCAATATTATTTTGAACCAACTTTTAGTCTCTACCCTGTTCCCCTAGAAATGTATCCTCGCGGGGCGTTCCTTCTCCATTCTAGCAGTACCATAAGGCTCATCATTGTCCATACGTTGGTCGTGCCTGAAAGCTGCGCAGGCGACCACGTACAAAATCACCAGGATGATTAGTATGACGATGTTGATCACAGAAACCTTCCTCCAGCTTTTCTTGAGGCTGGCTAGTATACCGGCTTTGCAAGAGTCGCAGTTATAGCATAGTTGTTGTTGATCGTTGCTCCACCTCTGGCAATCTGGGTCGGCTGCAATGGTCCCTGCTATGTTCCAATACGTCTCGTTCCCATAAACGAAGAGACATGCCGTGGGCGGCTTGCAACATCCAGACTGTCAAGCAAATTGAAACACCTCATTATTAATAAAATATTGCGTTAGTTTGGAATTGAAAGATGTATACATCTTATGTTCCAATGTATTTGTCCAGTATTCTTTTTTAGATGGTCTCGATGTATTTGTCTATTTTCTATTCAAGGTTAAGTCATTAGGCATATCTACCTAAATAGTACTCCATACTAAACAATAACTAACCACATATTTTAGTGCTATATAGAGCAAATTTCACAAGTACTTAATGTCGCATTGTCACGTCAATGCTTTTGCCCTCAACTCAACACTACTTTTAAAGGTCCCTTCATGAAGGACAAATATGCCGCTTTCATCTTTTATTCTCTTCTTCTTAGTCCATGGGCCAAGATAGAAAGTGGACAACCACATCGGCATGAATAGAGTATTATTTTTACACAAAAAACGTGGAACGCCCACCCGGGTCCCCCACACCCCGGTTTGTGAAGGAGGTAAATCATGGTATAATCTTAATCTGATCCTTAAAAAGGCCGCCCCGTGCCCAGTGGGCACAAGGAGCTATTACAAATTTAAAAATTCCCACACTGCTGCTGCCGGGAGTTGACCTTAAGATCAATAGATTTAACATCTTCTCCTTGAACCAGTTGAGCTACCCATGCGGGCAATTATTTTTATACAAAAAAGTGGAACGTTCACCCCGGTTGCCCCCACACCCCGGCCTGACGGGATTCTGAGGGGAGTACTATTTTTAGTTTTTTACACAAGATTAAGATATCTTAAGTTTTTACTCTCACAAAATATTTGACTCGAGTTAGAGGCCATAAACGAAGACCATGGTACCATCATTATGTGTTTGAAGTAGATATTTATCAAATTTATCACCTTCAGAATCCTGTCGGGCCGGGATGTGGGGGGCACCGGGGGTGGGCATTTCACCCTTTTCTTTGAAGTAGATATTTATATTTGATAATTGATACCATAAAAATCTAAAGAGATGCTATGTATCTAGGAACTACTAATATGGAAGGAGCTATCACATGAGAATTAATGTTCACTGATGGGCAATATCCAAAAAGGGCCCATCTGCCAAATTTGTACTGGTATTAAATGAGTGTCACACCATGTAGATGTTTGTGTCAGAACAAGTGTAAGGCAGGGATATGGTAGATGTTTCTGGCCATCACATGATTCAGATTTTTTTTAAATGCAAAATGATTCAGATTCTCAGATATACTGTCTGTCTGTTTCCTTTTTTAGAATTTACTTGTCAATTTTTCACTTTGCACTTCATAAGAGTTGGATGTGGGTGGGTGAAATTTTTACTCCCTCCCTCCCTCCCAGAAATATCTCTCGGGCTTGACTTGACACGATTTTAGTAAAGTAAAATATTGGTGGTTGTGGTCTGTGTATAGGAAAAAGATTTGATATGGATCACATATTTGTTTCCTTAAAAGGAAAGAGGAAGAAAATTTTTAAAGAACCTAAATAGGAAAAAAGGAAGATAATTATGGAACGAAGGAAGTAAAATTTATGCACACGGTTGAAATGACTGGATAAGATGAAACCACCACATTTTTGTTAGGAATGTGTTGGATACATCTTGTCCTACTATTTCAACATTGTGCTATATAAAAAACACACGGCCACTAGTGAGCACAATGTGTGTCGGGATGGGCAATTTGGGAAGGGGCCATACCCTATCACCCGTCCCGTTCATCCACCCGAGGTGAGTGTGGCTACTTCTCCAACCGGTGTGGTGCTATGACACAAAAATATGGACGAATGTGTGACGATAGTAACCACGCACCCTCAGTCACGATTTCGGTGGGCCCACCGAACCACGCCTGGTGGAAGTTGAACATTTTATAATGTTACCACTAGTCACTAGACTCAAAACCCCAAAATTACACAAAATGTTATGAGATTAAACCCAAAGGCTCCATAAATAAATAAAAAAGCAAAGCCAAAACACAGTGTAAAAATATCTCTTTATTAGCATTGCTTTATTACACTACTGGTATCTACTTTAATGATCTTGACATCTCATCCTTTGTACATGCTATGGCATTAAACGACAATTGGGCAGCTGGCTCATGTGATGTCCACTTACTTTCTCCCTCCCATAACAAATAACTTTACACACTTATATGCACTTCTCCATTTAATTTAGATTAATAAGTAGATAAAAACTCTACATCCCGCCCAAAAAGAACGTTAGAGTTGACTCTTTTCATCAAAAGAGTGTCACATTTTGATTATAAATTATAAAAAATACTATTATGATATAAATTTAATATTATTCACTTCATTTTAAGATGTTTTAGAATTTTGATTTTTCTAACATTTTTTTATTGAAAATTATATTTAGTTTGTGCTCAAAATTGATTGAAAAATCAAAGTGTAATAATCTTAAAGGGAGGGAGTGAGTAGCATATAAGGCATATTAGATCTCTCTTTAGCTTGAATTTCATGTTATTTAAAACAAAGTAAATGTTAACAAGTAAAAAGTGCATGGTGGAAAATTATTAAGGTCAGGGAGAAATCGTGTGAGCTACATGTTCATTAAGTTAAAAGAAAAACTTAAGAAATGTTTTTTTGAACGTCTAAAATGTAAAACTTTGGAAAGGTTATTCACTTATTTGGGCTCAATTTTTGTGTTTTTTTTAAAGATTACCATCAACATTTTTCATTTGCTTTTTTATTTCTTCATAATTAGAGTGGGGGGATATTTCTAAGGGTATGAATATCATTGAATGTTGTCCCCAATCATGGCAGAAAGCTCAATTCAAAGTTGCTGACTTTTCTTCTTCTTTTGTAAAATCATTATTGCAAATAAGTGGAAATTTATTTCAAAATAATTAAAACAACAGAAAAACAGAATTTATTTTCTTGTTATGGAAAGGTCCATCCTAAGTTTAATCAGAAGAGCACATTAATCACAGTCAATGTGGAGAATTTTATTGCAAAACGGCAATGGTTCAGCCGCAAAAACAGATCGATGTGAAAGTGAAAGTGAAACCAACCAATTAAACTCTATCTGCTCAAGAACATTTTTTACCCACAAACAAAATAAGTTAAAAATTCACTTTTTTTACCCCTGCCAAGAACTGTGAAAAATGAAATACGGAGTATGTTTTAAAAAACCAACACAACCAAAAACTCAAAAAATGTGAAATTTGCACTAAATATTTTAAACTTTTTTATTTCTTAAATAGTCCTTGAATAATGTCTAGTAGCGGGAACAACATTCAGTAATAGTCGATATTTAGTTTGAACAATATCAAGTGATACTACATTAGAAAATAAAAATATATGGTACTACATTAAGAAAGTTACTATTTTTTTAGTACTATTTTGAAATTGAAATTCCAAGAGGTTTGAATTGAATTCTCCTATTCCAATTCAATTCATTTTGCGCACTATCAATTCCAAATTGCTACCAAATAGCACGATTAGAATTAACTTTCTCCAATTCTAATTCTATCTCTCGAATTCCATAGCCTTAGAGAATAAAAATTGAAAAGAAGAAACCTAAAAAAAAAGCATACATACCTCAATAGGGGTGAGATGCCGGAAGTAAAACATATCAGCAGACTCAGGGAAGCCATTAATGGACCTTCGGATCCGTTTACAAGCGTGAGAATCCCTAATACAGGAACTGATCTTGGACCAGTAGGCCTGACTGGTGACCCTCTCCGCGAGCCACCCCGAGTAATCCTGGAGGTAATACTCCAAATAGCGGCGGTTCATGACGGGTCGACCCGAACCCCTGTCGGTGACGGAGAAGGCGAAGATGACGAATCCGATTAGGGCGGCGATGACGAGGAACATGGCCCACAAGTAGACGTACATGAGGAAAGTGTTCCGGTAGCAGGCTCCGGCGAATCCGGCCAGAGAAACCACCATAATCGAGGCTCCGATGACTATGAGCGGCCATTGGAGGAACTTCATGCAGTCTGTGGAGTTGGCCCTGCCGCTCAGCCATATCCCGCCGACCAAAATCGGGATTGACGCTAGTAATGTCAGGAAGTTTATCGCCCCTATCAAATGGTTGCTGGTTCTCATTCTTTTTTATTTTTTTTATTTTTTGGATTTTTGCCTGTTTTTTGTTTTGTTCTGTTTTGAGTGGGAGAAATTTTGGGAGAAGATTGGAGAAGAAAGGGGAAGGGGGAAAGGTTTGGTTGGTTTGTTGAGGTGAAGGACAGGTGGGAGTGGAAGCAAATTGACTCTTGGGAGTTTATTTTTAATTATTTCAATTAAATACTGGGGACGAAGTTTGTATTGGGCGGAATTCAAGGAATTGTTATTTCTATAGAAGAATGAATCTTAATATCTTATCTTAAGTAGGGGTGGTAATGGAACTTCCGGTTTGGGTTAATTCAGTTCGAATATATTTTGGATATATGTCATACTTAATTTGGATCAATTTGGTTTAATTTCGGTTCGATTTAATTCTATTCCATACGTTTTTCAATCCGCTTCGGTTCTTGGTTGGTTCGGATTTAGTTCAGATGTCGATTTTGGGTTTCAGATACATTCCAGTTAAGATATACCTAAATTTAATATAATTAGATTACCAAATCAGATGCAATTTGGTTAAAATGTGTTGAAATTGAGTTAAATTGAATAAAATTAGAAAAAATTTGAGTGAAATTAAATACAATTCAAAGCAAATGTTTGGTCGACGATACAATAATGCATGAGAGGGGGTAAAAAAATACTCCATTTGCCCCAATTTATAGTGCATGTTTCGATTTACGGTGTTTGACTGAAATTATTTTCAAATTATTTTACTCCCTCCGTCTATTTTTAATGTTCGTACTTTCCTTTTTGGTCTGTCCATAAATAATGTTCATGTTTCTAAATTAGGCAAAGAATCACAAATGAAATGCCTTTAATACCCCTCACCCACCACCCACTTTAATTTACTCGGTAACTCCAACCACCCCACTTCCCCATGTTTCGACTCCTCGTTATTAACGCATATCATAAGATAAATGATATAGAGTTCAAAGATAAAAATTACATACTAAAATACTGTACCAAAAGATCTACAAAATTAAAAGTGAGAATAATACTTTATTTTATCAAATTGTTTACGAAAGTAGAGAAGGATAGTGAATGAAGTTTAACCCTATGAATAATAAACAGGCACTATAAATTGAGACGGAGGAAGTACTATTTTTAGCCGTGATCTAGTTTGTATAAATTTTAACTAACATTTTTTTTATGAAAGTTGCATTGTCCATTTTTATAGCAATTTTAAAAAATTAAATTTAAAACCTATGAAATTCTACATTTTGTTTAGATAGTGTAATTCTTTTGGACATAGGGAGTAAGTTATACGGAGTATATGTAACGCTCCAAAACATACCATAGAATTAATAATGAATAATTATTCAATTAATCAAATTTGTTTTGATTAAAAATAAATTATTGATGGGCTTTGGGTCGATATGAAATATGTTTTGACATTCAATATCACAAATCTGGTTGAGCCTCATAGAGATAAATCCAATATGTTGACTATTTGTGGGATCTTCATTGGGAACCTAAGTACAGACCCGAATTAAGAATAAATGAAGAAATTGTTTATAATGTAAACCTTGAAATGGTTTTTTGAAATAAATCATGAGAATAAATAATATGAATTGAATATGACACCTTTTATAGTAAAAGTCAAACAAATCAATTTTGACTCTGTCAAAGTCAAATACTCAAAAATATGATATCGGAAAAAGTATAACGAATAAATACGAAACCTATGTCGCTAAATAGAGCTTGACTGTCTGGTCGCAACGGTGCAAACGGATTTCAATTCGGAGTAAGTTAAACCAAAAAATGTAACCCAACTGGAACCAAAATTGGTCCCAATCAGGGACACTGTGGAGACGGCGCCGCCCAGCGCACTAGAAAATTTCCTACGCAGCATCTACTTGGAGAAGTGTCCTCTTCTTCTTCACCATTCTATATAATAAAAACCCAACCCAATCAATTCTTCACCATTCTTCTTCATTTTTCCTTCTAAGTGTTCCTGAGAGTGTGAGGAGTATTGTGGTGCTGTCATTTTAGTGAGAGGTCGCCGGAGTTAGGAGCTTTTGTCGCCCGAAGTTTCGCCGTTCTTTCGCCGGAATCTTCGTTAAGTTTCAATGTAAGCCCCTAGATATATCTAATGACTAGAATGTTCATATAGGTTGTTTCTACGTTCATAGATGGTCATTTGGTTGAGTTTTGTGTTTGACATGCTTGAAAACTAAGAATCATAAACCATGAAATTGATGTTAAAATTATGAATTAATGATGCTAAAATGATCTATGAACCTTGGAGAACATTTTTATATACTTTAATTGAAATTTGGGAAGTAAAAATGATATTTCCGCAAGATGACTCGAGGTAGAAGACGATGAATAGTCGATTATCAACTTGAAAATCGACTATGGCTTGTTCTGCAGATTTTTGGAACAGAGCTGAGCAACAGTCGATTGTCAGAATGTGACAATCGACTGTCAGCCCTCTCTGAAGTTTGATAATCGATTATCAGAATGTGATAATCGATTATCAACTCATTCTGAACATCAGACAGTAGATTATCAGAAGTAACAGTAGACTGTCTCCCTACACTATTGAAGAAAATGGAGCTAATAGTTAATAATTGAATTTCCTATCATATATTAATCAATTATTGTTTAGAAAACATGATTTTTGAACTATGGAATCCTATTTTGATACCAATCAATTATGATTAATATAAAGATGATTTCTTGGAATAAAAATGATGTTTTAAGGACCATATGTGATGCATGACGGTAAGCTAGGGTGTTAACACTCGATGCTAGGCCGCTATTTGTTATTAGATATTATGATGATGGTTTGATTGATTTGATGAATTAATGATGACGAATATTCTGAATGATAATCATGAATTGTTAAATTAAGAATAATGGATTAATGAATAGTATTGCTAAAGCTACCTAGAAGACCTCTAAGATAGACCTCTGATTAGAATGGGCCTTGCGGGTATATAATGTATATTCGGTGGCCTTGGGTAAAAACGTATGTACGGGATCCATAAACCAAACTAGAGGGACTCGTTTGGGGATACCATCCAACCCGACAGTTAGTATTTTACTGTTCGGTTTCTGAATTCGTACCTTAAGCGAAGGCTAGTTTAAGAGTTGATAAATTATCCGGAATATATGTACCTTAAACTAATGACCTAGCTCAAGAGTTGGTTAGAAGTACCTTAAACTATAATAAGTTTAAGAGTTGGATAAAAGTACATTAAACTAAAATTAGTTTAAGAGTTGGATAGAAGTACCTTGAACTAGAATTAGTTTAAGAGTTGGTAAAACATCAAAAGATTGGCCTTAGACTAAGCATAGTTTAAAGATATTGTTGAATATTGAATATTGAATATTGAATATGAATGTTGATTATTGAATATCGTGAGTGATTTATATATTGTGTGCATGATATCAAATGTTTGTTTGTGAAATGAGATTCAATTTATGTGGATGTTCAACGCTTTAGATATGCTTACTCAGCTTCACCGCTGAGCGTGTAGTGTGTTTTATTTGCTACACGCAGGTAGGCAGAATGAGTGATTGGCATGTTCCTGGCAGCAGAAGGGGGCGAGGTGGTTGTGGTGGTTACATGATCTAAAATGTTTAAATTATATTGTTATGAGACATGATCTAAATTGCTTCCGCATTTTATTAAAACACTCCGTATTTCTCTACAGTTATGTATGAGATATTATTGAATGAATAAAAATGTTTGAAATGTTTTAAATTATCACGATTACCAAATCAATACTTTAGTCCGAAAGGAGCTGCAGACCTGGACGGGTTAGGGTGTTACAGTATATAAGTCTATAACTAGTTCAAATGACAAAATAAAAGTAAAAAATTTGAAATCACATTAATATAATTGTTCACTAATGTACATAAATATAATATGTTTTTTGTCAGGCATAGACAATTTCGAATATAATCGGCTACAGGCCTTACCGATTTCGAGTCTTATCGATTTCGGATCTTATCAGTTTCGAGTCTTATTGTTTTTGGAGGTAACCAATTTCGGATATAATCGGTTTCAGAAATAATCGGTCAGATATAATCAATTTTGGATTTAAACCGGATATGGATATGTTTAGTTCAGTTTCGGATCGGTACGGTTCAGCTCATTTTGGTTATTTAGTTATAAACCGGATCTTCACTTTTCGGATCATTTTAGTTTTGGGTTCGAATCATTCAATTCTAATAATCGGTTCCAGGTCTATTTTGCCGGGTCCAATCTTAATGACTCATCATAACTCGGCCAGACGGTTACTTAAGAGAATAAAGATTAGATTTTAATTTATGTTTTGCTATGACTATTAATGAAAGTCAAACTCAAGCATTGTGTTATTGAAAGGAATATTATCATTTATGTTATTGAAGAACATTTATCAAACACTTGAATTGTGTAAAGATACAAAGTTAATCGTTGATGAGTTGTGAAGAGGTTTTCAGTGCAATTCTTGTATCCACAAACAAAATTAGAGAGAAAGTCTACATACTTTAAGATAGTATTTGAGAATTAATATTTCATTTCAATTCTTTCATTTTAATTACAAAATTTGAATTCATGAATTTAAATGACAAGAGAATGTATATACATTTATACTTGTGCTTTGTAACGAATTAGAAGAAATTGTCTAAAATCAAATCTAAAATTTAAAGGTTCTCAAACATTAAGTTTGAGCCAAATACAAATTTGAAATTCAAATTCAGGTTTCCAAATATGTTAGAGTTCAGTATAATTTGATCGAAGATTATCGTTAAAGTTTCAAGGAAAATAATTTCTGACAATTTATGTTTCGCTATGACTATTAATGAAAGTCAAAGCTAAACATATATGTTAGATATTTTATAAACAATTCAGTATTCATTTCTGGTTAACTTTATGTGATAAATACTAAAATTGGAGTAAAATATTGGAAATATAGCAAAAAATTATTTCTATGTTTTTTATTCTCGAAATAAGAGTTAAAATGCATTTACAATGTCAATCATGACTAATATATTATCAAAAAGTATTGTGAAATATTCATATACAATGTCACATTATCATAGTGTGAACTCTTATTTTAAAAATAAAAACATGAAACTTTTATTTTGATATTTTCTCTACGTTTTACTTCTATTTAGGGAATTCCTTTAACTTCATATTGTTTTTTCGGGAAGGAAATTATAAAAGTATGATTAAAGTCCATTGAGTATTAGTTTTAGATGCCACATG